AGTTTTATTTTTTTTATTTTTCTTTTAATCAGAAGAATATCTAAATAAATTAAAAAAAACTGAAAAAGCAAAAAGCAAGGGCAAAATCGTCATTATAAAAACGTTCAAAGAAAATTGGACAAAACTCGCAACAAAATGAAAAGTTTGGACCTCTGGTGCTAGTTCAAACTTTTTTGGACCAAAGTGACAATTTTCAGCTAACCACAGGGACTATTTGTGCAATTTTGTCTAATATATAATAATTCAATAAAAATAAAAAGAAGATATGTAGAAATGGTCCTTGTAGTTTGGTTGCAGAAATGGCTCCTGAGGGTAAAATAGTCATTTTAAAAAAGTTAACAACCAAGCTGGTAAAGTTAACGGAAGAGAGATCAAAACCACAACAAAAGTTTTCGAAAAGGACCAAATCTACAAGTTTTCAAAGGTTTAGACCTTAACTACATAAAATGAAAAACCACGGGGACCATTTTTGCAGTTTTGTCAAATATAAAATAAAATAAAACATAATTTTTTTTATTTTATAAAAAAACCATTTAATTAAAAAACCACACTACAATAACATTAATTAAATCCTAAAACGACAAACGAAATAACTAAAAAACCATACTACTAAAACGGCAAATGGCAAACAAAGAAATACTTAAATTCTAAAAAAGAGTTATTTTTAAAATATTTCATGTCGCCTCGTAACGAAAATCTTTCATGTTATGGTGTTCGTGATGCTCATTTTTTGTTGCATTTAAAATTTTTTCGTCGAAAACTCTAGGCTCTCGGGTATTCATCTTGTGTGTGAAAACAACAAAAAACTCTTTCACTTGTTGTTGCATATCTTTCCTTTTGGAAGCAATTTAATGAGTTGAACAATCCAAACCCCCAAGTTGTTGCTTCAAATGATCTAGAACTAATCGCCAAATATGATGATCTATGTTGAGTAACCTGCCTATTTTCAAAAGTGTTAATGTATGCGCTGACCAACGCCACTTCTTCGATTTCGGACCATTCGGTGAATACAACTGACCTAGGAATGACATCCATTTTCAAGTTTTGAATTGAAATGTAGAGAGAGTTGATTAAAATGGAATGAAATTGAAAGAAAGAAATGTGTTATTTTGAAATGGTAGAAAATGTATTTATAATAGGAAATTTTATTTTAAAAAAATAATCATTTACAATTGTTGCCGTTAAAAGAATCACGGGTTCATCGACCCCACATGCAACCACCGGAGAAATAGTGACATCTCGAAATAGCGACATCGGCGGCACTGGCGGTACCGCCAACCCAAACATACCACTCTGTGTACCCTTATATATCAAAGTTATATGTCACAAACAATTAATTATTCGATCCGTACATGTCACTAGTGATGAGTATTTTCCATTTCGTTCTAAAACAACCGACATACTTATAAAGTGGTCACTTATTGATTATTATCTTTCTTTTTTTTGGCTATAAGAATTGACATACAAGTTTCTTGATATACCAAAAATATATAATATACGTTTCGTATGAAACACAAACCCATTATTTAAGAGTTTTATTTTCATATGCCTACCTTAACTCCTTAAGCGTGCGTGTGTAATATGGACCCACTTCAAATGCTTGGTTTGTGTTTATTCCATCCACAATCCACTTAAGTGGAACCCATTATCCTAATTCCTAAGTGGTAGTGGAATAACAATTTCAGTGGATAAAACTTGCAACTTCAGTTTAAATTATCTTATGTTTGAAATTAAAAAATGTAATTTATGTGTGAGTTACTGTTTTGATTCTTTTAGGGAACATGCGGTTTATTAATGCGTATTTGGATTCCTTTAAGGAACATGCGGTTCATTGTAAAGAGCTCCCAAGTTTCAAATACCGACATAATGTGGTCAGGGACGTTCTCTTTGACGTCTGTCAGCGTGTTGAGATTTCCGTTAAGAAAAAAACAACTGTGAACTTTTTGACTGAACCGTTGGATGGAAGATTACACTCAGGCCGGCTGACATTTTGGTCTTTAGATTGGTGGGAGGAAAACACGTTTGTGTGAATCTTACTGGGGTCTCCCCTCTTGTGGGCTTAAGGAGTTGAGGTTTCACAGCGGGATAGGTTGCTTTGAAAGTCGCCGCATGCAAGGTGACCAAACACGATAATACATGCATTGAAATTCAACATATGTTGATACTTTTTGCATTTGATACATTTGGTTTTCTCGCACCAGAGGCGGTGGGGATCCTCAACAGAGTCCAACGGGTCATACATAATAATGTAATGTCCCCTAAATCTACGGACGTTGTTTTCAAAAGAATTAGTTTTGCTATCCAGAAATGTCTAACGACGCAGCTTGTTGTATGTTTGCCTTTCATAGCTATGTACTGACTTTTTTTATTAGATATTTATGTTTAATAGGTTGACTTTAAAAGATTTAATATTTAGCTGAAACTGAAACAGATCAATTTTAGGCTGGAAAGCCGCACAAACTATATTCAAATGCATAAAATCTCGTAAATAAACGTTTAATATAGTTTTTTTTTTTGGTTAGCATTTGTATGAATTTGAGCAACAAGTGTTTTGCCATCAAGAAAAAGAAGAATTATAAGAAGAAGAAGAAGAAAAATCAATAAAATGAATCGGACTGTTCCTCTGTTATGAGAAATAATGAATCAGAATAAGTTTAGACAGATATTGTATTGATGATAGTTAAAACAGCAATTTTCTATAATTTAACGGACAAAAGAGATGATAATTATTCGTTTTAGTTGGTATGTAAAAAAAACTACAAGAAAAAAGTCATGAGATAATTTTCACATAAATAGAACTGAAACGTAAAGTTGAGGGACCTTAATGAGAAAATAAAACGGAGGTTTTAGATAGTTGATTGGTTTTTGTACGAAATGAAATAATTTTGTAAGCATGCGAGGGTTACTAAATTAACATAGAGAGCGTACATGGCTGCCTATAGCATCATGGTAAAACTACAACAATTCATTTAAATGACAACAAAAAATCAAAGTTTTAGAAGCAATCAAAGATGTAATTATATATAATTACTTAAAGAAGATCATTTTCGTGACTTTTGCTTGGTTTTGGTGTTGAAATGGTGAGATTTCAACTTCTTGCGCTTAACAACAGCCGTGGGTCCCGCACCCTCACGGAAGGGCATCCCCATTAAAGCAAGAAGTTTGTAGGCTTCTTTGTCTGTTTGAGCGGTTGTTGCTATACAAACATCCATTCCCCTTGGTTTCCCAAGGGCATCATAACTCAGCTCAGGGAAGACACTTTGTTCCTTTAACCCAACACTGTAGTTACCATGCCCATCGAAGCTGTTTGGGCTCACACCTTGAAAATCACGAGTTCTAGGAAGACCCAAGTTGATCAATCGGTCAAGAAACGCGTACATCATCTGTCAAGGGTAAAGTATCATATTTTGCTGCCTGTTATTACTTATTAGTAGTAAAGGAAAGGTAACTTTGTGTGTTGCTATTATGGGTAAAGAAATGTAAGTACATTTTGTTATTAACACTTGAAAATTGAAGGAAACTTACATTTCCCCTAAGGGTGACAGCGATTCCAAGTGTTTGATTTTCTCTGATCTTAAAAGTGGCAATGGGATTCTTTGCTTTTGTTTTGACAGGCCTTTGTCCTGTGATGAGTGCCATGTCATTTATTGCTGCATCAAGACCCTTGCTGTTCTGTGCAGCATCTCCAATACCACAGTTCACTACAATCTTGGAAACCTTAGGAACCTACCAATACCATGTTTCACATATAAAATCAAAAACAAGTTGCTAAACAATTATATACCACTTTCTTAATTTCAAAAATGTGTTACATGACTGATGAACAATCAATAGACACATGCATGAATTGCATCTTTATAATATGTGATAACAGGATAAGGTAGACTGAGGTTCATAGATCAATTTTTCAGATAAAATGTTTAGAGCTCGAAATAGATGTCAGCACTTCTGGATAACACATTACTCACATTAAACTGATAAAGAATCTGAATTCAGCCAAACACCTTGTAACCTCATTTAGTTGAGCGAAATCAATACTAATCTTCAACAATCCCACAAGTTTCAAAAAAAATTACAGACTAACAACTTACACATCACTCTAAGTGAGTGGCATTCTCCCTAATTTCTGAAAGGAATTTCATAAGTAAAACTGAATATATTGGCCATAATGCACAACAGAAAGATAAACACATAAACGAAAACTTCGAATAATTGATTCCTCGTAAGTTCAATTAGGTATGTAGAAATCAGTACTAGTTTTCATCATTAACACTATAATCACTCTAATCAGCATTATCCCTAGTTTCTACAAGCAATTTCATAAGTAAAATTGAAGATATTAACCATTATGTGCAACAGAGAACGGAGAATAGAAATTCTAATGATATACCTGAAGAATGTTAGTGTAATTAAATTCTTCCTTGAGCAAAGGAACAATCTTCTCGAAGTACGATGTTTTGAGACGATTAACCTTATCCGCTTCCGATTTGTCCACCAACACTATCCCAGCCGCCGCTTCCGCCCTGACCGACAAGCCACCGTACCGGTTCCCGCACAGTGGAGATAAGCGTACGGAGTTGCCTGGAGAAACCGCCGGGAATTGAGAGATGAACGAAGAGGCTGAGGATTGCAGAAGCGCCATTGGAAGTATGTTTGTGCTATGCGTGTGGATAGAGAGTGATTTTGATTAAATAAAATGTGGAAAGTATATGATTTTGGTCCCTTAAGTATTATAAAATGACCTATTTCTTCTTTGTAATATCGTTTGATCATTTCAGTCCCTAGATAGAGGGAGGTTTTTTAGCTGCTAAATTATATTAAACACTAGGTAGAAGCTGGAAGAAGCAAAAAGTGATCAGGGTTCCACCTTTTATTTTGGGGGGAAAATATAATATATATAAAAACGGTGAGCACTGCCAAAATTTTATATTTTTAGTCTTAATAATATAAAATTAAAATATAACGGCTATTGGCTACTTCTAACCAAAAAATATGCCCCCCCCCTTCGTCCTAATAAAGCTCCGCCCATGACAGTAATATAATTAGAGGTGAGCAAAAACCGAACCGCAAACCGAAAAAACCGCATAAATCGAAACCGAAAAACCGAAACCGAAATGAACACCGACGGTACGGTTTTTAGTTTTATAAAAACCGAAAATGTTCGGTGCGGTTCGGTTTCTAGTCTTGCAAAAACCGCAAAAAACCGAACCGTACCGAATATATATATATATATATATGGGAAAAAAAATATACCCTTAAGGGTATATAAGCTTATGTACCCAAACTCACCATACTATGTTGTTTTGTATCATATATATATATATATATATATATATATATATATATATATATATATAT